TAACTCCCAATTATTTTACAAATCGATTTGTATTTAATTGGCTCAAGTTAAGGCAAATTCTGGCAAATGAAGGTGATTTTTGTGTTTGTTTATTTTTTTTAAATGAAAAGTTTGCTCTTCTCAGTAGACCAGATTAGCTTTGGTGTTGGTTGTCACCATTCTGTCTTATTTCCTCCAGCAAGGGGCGTAATGGTTAACAGCAGGATTTTCCAGTTGAAGCCCCCACTGGTGGCAGGATTGACACTCCAGCCTCCAGAGGTATCACCTGCCACACGGCTGCACTTGGGTTCTCATCCCTGAGGCGGTTCGTCGTGTGGCGGGTGCGGCATCCTTATGTCGTCCTCTTCCTCCTCCCCAGAGCTTGATAGTTCCTGGGAATCTCGCTGTGTGAATGGGTAAAGGCTGCGAGTGGCTTGGGGTGAGAGCCACTGAATGTAATGGCTATCTGTCCCAAAGTGGTTCCGTGGTGCCACAGTGAGGCTCTGCAGTTGTCAGGTTAGGCCATCCTATTGGGCATCCTATTACATGTACCATGAAATCTTCCTTTGTGAAGAAATCCACTGCTTGACCCCAGCAGGGGGCACTTCTACACCAGTGATCTTTACCCCAACCCCCCCTGTCTGGCTTCTACTGCTAAATGTCATCCAAAGGTAAAAAGTAGCTGAAATGAATGACGTCGGCCAGCCAAGTGCAGAGTGTTTTTTTTATTAGTAAAATTAAACTGGCCTGTTTGAGAGTTGATAACGCCGGACCCGATACCGGTGGCATTCCCTGTCGGGTCGACTTACTGTGTCTGCCAGGCTGTGTTCTGCCTGCGTGTCTTCGGGCCGGAGGGAGGCAGTCTGTGATAGTAGCCTTGGTGTGGCGGGCTGGGGGGGTGGTGAGACATTTGTCAGTGAGCCATGCCTGTAGTTTTCATATGAGCCTCAGGGACTTCAAATGCCCACCCCGTGTTTCCTGCGGCAGCTCTGGGGGGTTGGAAGACTCTGTGGCTGTTTTGGCAGCTGTCCTGGGGGGCTGGTTTTTCCCTTCACACTGTCGCACCGGTGACAATCCTAGGCTCGGTCATCACAGCGGCAGGTTCGAGATTCTTCCTCCTCCGTCATCGAGGTTGTCTCGCCTGTGAGCTTTTTCTAAGGGATATTGCGATTCATTGGGCCTTCTATAAATTTAATCCTGGGTCCTATACGATGTTTCTGACCCCCCCCTTCCCCGGTGAAAAGTGTGGCGAGTATGTGTGTCAGGGCTGATAGAGCAGGCAGGCCAGCCGGAAGAGTGCCATGGGGTCCCTGAGGGGGGGTGCCATGGACGTGTGTCACTGTGACGCC